TCAAAGATATCAATATCCAAGAAGTGCGGTTGGACACCTTCGTCACCGACTCTAATGGAGTTACAAAATACTTCACCCTAACATTCAAACACATGTCAAACATGTCGAACCAAACAAAATATTCATCCCAACAAGGCGGGGAGAATATATAAAAAACCTGTGCATTGTGATCGGCTCAACTCCACCGAACTACCGGGCACAATGCAACAGAAACCAAACAAAATATTCATCACAACAAGGCGGTGAGAATATATAAAAAACCTGTGTATTGTGATCGGCTCAACTCCACCGAACTACCGGGCACAATACGACAGAAGCCAAACAAAAATATTCAGCACAACAAAACGGTGTGAATATATAAAAACCTGTGCATTGTGATCGGCTCAACCCCACCGAACTACCGGGCACAATGCAACAGAAACCAAACAAAAGTATTCATCCCAACAAGGCGGGGAGAATATATAAAAAACCTGTGCATTGTGATCGGCTCAACCCCACCGAACTACCGGGCACAATGCAACAGAAACCAAACAAAAATATTCAACACAACAAGACGGTGTGAATATAAAAAAACCTGTGTATTGTGATCGGCACAACACCACCGAACTACCGGGCACAATACAACAGAAAGCAAACAAAAATATTCAACGCTTAAAAAAACGTGAATCCCACCAACAAACCAATCATCACCTGAAAAAAAAGTGTGAAACCGACAAAAAAACAAATCATTCAACACCTGCAAAAAGTGTGAATCCAACAAGAAACAAAACATTCAACACCTGAAAAAAAGTGTGAATCCAACAAACAACCCGTTCAACCCTTGAAAGGAGGGCGAACCTAACTCCAACAAAACACTACACTAGGTAGAAGTGCAAATAAAATACAAACAAAAGGTTCCTTTGATGTGGTTCTTATATGAATGAAGTTCCTAAATTAATAAACCAAAATGACCTAAGTAGACTTTTGAACTCTTAAACCCTAAAATTAATATATCGGTAAGAATACCTTACACTACATCAACTTACAAATAGCCATAACCTAGCACACACAATCTACATACTTCCACACACAAATGCGAACTCCAACAAATATATTAAATTAAGATCTAAAGTTAATGACCAAATAGTGAAATTTTAATACTTAATAATATCTTTAATATGATAGCGACCAGAGGTGTTCTTTGAAAGGTCCTGCAAAAGGTAAACGTTATCTGAAATTTTCTCTACAATTTTACATTTAACAAACTTAGGTGCAAGCTTTGCCGAAAAATATGCTGGAGCATTAGACTGAACAAAACTTCTTCTCCAAACAATATCACCAACATCAAAAGAAATAGTCTTCCTTCCAACATTATAATAACGCGCATTACGTTTATACGCCTTCAACAAATGAGACTCAACTCTAGCAAAAATATCACTAAGTGATTTAAAAGAAAGGGCACAAAATCCCTTTAACAAACTCAAGTTGGTCTAAACTAATAAAGAATTACCAAAAGGGTGCAGAGAAGCATCAACAAATTAACTCTCAACCAAACATAAGAAAATTAAGTGTAAAACCAATAACCAAATTTACACTTCCAATAAAAGCTAACTAAATGTGAGGTCAAAATTTAAAGCAAGAATAAACTAACAAAAGCCAATCTTTAACAAAACATGAAATACAAGTCCCTACCGTCCTACTGTACCTCTCCACAGGGTTACTCTGAAGTGTGTACAATGTGTTATAAAAAATTTAGTAATGTTGTAACCTCTCATGAAATCTACAAAATGTTTAGAAGTGAATTGAGTATTATTTATCGCAAACTATTAATTTAGGACAACCAAATCTAAGAAATATCTCTCTTTCAAGGATTCTACAAATGGACACGGTGGTAGCTTTTACTAATGGAAAAACCCAGCAAAATTTTGTGAAGACATCTACAACTGAAAGAATATATTTATGTGAGGTGCTGTGCTTAAGGCTTTACATGTGTCACAAGATCTACTGTAATTTTGAACATCATTAAACATACCTTTCCAAACATAATGTTGTTTCAATTTCTTAGTGGTTTTATGAATCCCAAGATGACCAGAATTAATATCATCATGGTTAGACTTAATAGTATCAAGAATATGTTCCTTAGGAATAACAATTTTCCAATTTAATCTACTATCCAGATTTAATTTATTCTTACAAAATTTATACAATGTGTGGTCATCAACCCTGAAATTTTTATATCTAGAAGGGAAGTTTTGACAATTAACGAATAATCCCAAACCACTTGGCAGCAGTACCAGCAAGCAGATCAGCGAACTAACCAATCAACACGGCCTCATGAAAGTTCCTGAATACAAAGTAATCCTCAACACGAGTGATAAATTCTCTAACACAGGTCTTACCGTCAAAGATTATCTTGCTCCTAGTTAAATCAGGCAGCTTCGTAGTATAGGCAGGCATATTCCTCCTAACGTGTTCATTCATGCTGTTGAACGAAGGCAGACTTGGTGTAAGAGCAGGAGTATCACGAACATATGACAAGTCCAATGGGACGCTCATCTCCGCTGACTCATCCGCAGCTGTGCCAACATCCACATTGGCAGGCGACGTTGAAGGTGGAGCCTCCTTGTCCATATTACAAACCGACATTAACCACACAATTCCAAAACAGCCGTTCAAAGGTTAAGTTTTTTAAAATTAATTAAGTTTAAATTTATTCAAAAGTCACTGTTGTGAAAACCTAGGTTTAAATTATTTAAAAGTTAAATCCTATGAAAGGATAAGTTTAAATTTATTTAAGAGTTAAATGTTGTAAACAACCAGGTTCAAATTTATTTAAAAGTTGAATATTGTAAAGAAAAGTCTAAGTTGATTTGAAAGTGAAGTGAAAAGCTAAGTTTTAATTTAAATATCTAAGTTCTGTATTAGAAAGGATTTAAGGATTGCAGTAACCACTAACAATTGTTCTAGTAACTAAATAATAACAGCAAGGCTAAGCTAAGTTAAGTTAATCTTAATTTACAATAAGTTATATTATAATAATTTCAAAGCGGAGGTATCTATAAAATGTTTCTTGAGCAGACTTATAATTAACATTCAAAGCTATTAAATTGTAACACAAAATGCTTCAGTAACTATACCCTTAATTGAGAATACAACAGGCAGCAGTATAACTTAAATTATTGTTGTTTGTTAAAGCAGAAATAACATTGTAATGAAAAAGTCACAATGTTGTAAATTATTATTGAAAAATTGTAAAAATAACCTCACTTAATGATAATACAATTATAAAATACACAAGGTATGTAAGAAAAATATAGGATGCAGTAAAGACAGTATCTAATCAGTTATCTAATTAACCTACAGACACTACTTCAGTCCCTGAGCGCTGGCGACAATTGTAATAATAAAAAATTAAAAAATTTAAATTATGTTGTGGGGTGTGTTATAAAAGAAATATAAAATAAATTGGTGGCATCAAATAGAAACAAAATAACAAAATAAAAGTCTCGGGCGCCAGATACCACCTTAAAAGAACACAGAACCCACCACAAACACAACAAATACCTCGGACATCTCAGCCAGCACCGAACCTTTTTAAAACAAGGCGGGAGGACAGCTAAAGAATACAAGATGTTAAGTTCTAATGGCTGTTTATTATCCCGTAGTGTCTGTAGAGTACAATGTGTCTTATGTCTCTAATTACAATAGGTAATTCTTATACACAAATTAGTACTGTCATTAATGCAATCCTTTCCAATAAGAAAAATATAAGGTTAAATAAATTTTAAAGAGTCACATGAAGACCCAAAAAGAAAAGAGTATAAGGGTAGTTGTAGCAACGCCCTACTCCCCTAATTAAAATTAACCCCTTTGGGGACCTGTATAGGTTTTTTTAAACAAAGTCGCATAAAGACTTAATAGACAAAACAATAAACTCTAAGGGTAGACATAGCATTGACCTACTCTCTAATAAAAATAACACCCCTTAGGGACCTGCAGTATTCAATGCCACGTCGCCAAGAAAAATATAACAAAAACACATACCGATGACCTTGGATCAGTCCGAACGAAATGAAATCAAACCAACTCCGAAACTTCTCACTCCGGTTCCCACGTGGTGTTAAAGGCGGGTTAGCACTCCCCGGCTCCAGACAATGGCGTGCAGCTAAGCAGCTTTTTCTACCAATCCGGTGCTCCACAGCAATCTAATTTCTTGGGGTCAAACTCCGGCGAGAGACAAAAATCGAATGCCACGCAAGGACATTCCAATAAGAAAGTAAAATAATTTAGATAATGTAAAGACTTTAGATATAAGCTAAAAAAAAGAAACCCTGATTCATCTGCAAATAAGGAAAAATTATAGGTTAAAAGCCTATCTCACAGTATGAATCATAACTCTGACAAGAAATCATATTTCACTTACCAGGGTTCCAAAACGTTTCACAAATCAAGCAGCGGCATTATAAGCATTATAAGCATTGCCTGTAACCAATTAAACAAAGAGTTAAAACCACAAATTCCGCCAAGCCAAGCGTGAAGCACGTGGCCGAACAAAACTTACCTTTTTTAACGAAAATAAAAACTCAATCAATAATTTGATTCTTAACGAGGTTGGCCGAAAAATAAAAGTAAGAAATAAGCCCTCGTAAGAAATAAATTACAACAAAAAGTCTACATTTTAAAAGAATCCAAACTGCTTCGTCCCGGACCGACGCCAAAAGTGAAAAAAGTGATACCAGTGCAATAGCCTCTCGCTTCATAGAGCGGGGAAACAAAAATGTTGCCAGGACAAGAAAAACCAAATCGACTAACCAATCGCGGGCGAACAACATCGATTATTACTCTCGTCCGTCCCTCGACCATCGGCACACGCAGAAACGACAAAAAATTCAATCTAACAAAACAACAACGAGACAAAGGTTCAAATTACTGTAATGGCGCGAAATGCACCGTTACAATGTCTGACCAGGGATCCACTAAATCTTCTGGTACTCTAAAATAATAAATAAAATTAATCTTACCTGTAAATAATGTCCAACAAATACTGAAGACTTCTCACTAAAGTCAGGTTTGCCCACAGCCATTGCGAGTGTGTAGTCTGACCCTTTATACTCCAATGTGCCTTGGGTGGCTGTCAGCTTGCATTCTTGCACCTGGATCAAGATATATCATGTTTTAACATTTTATTAACTTTCAATTTATAAAATTCAAAATGCAACAATTTTACTGTATATTATGGGGATCTTGTGTCAACTAGGGTGAATTTCCGAGCCGGAAAATGTCGATTTCTGATTAATTTTATGATTAATGATTGAAGTTACCAGAGACCTAACGCTATTGGAATACCTTAGGTATTCAAAGAGCGGCGACACACTTGTGACTTTTCTTTACTTTAGACAATTCCGTGTGGTGACGGATTAAAAATACGGAGTGTCGCCACCGTATTCATTCCGTGGGTGTCGTAAGAGCCGACTAAGGGAGCAAACTACGCAGGACAACAGCACTGCAAGGAGGAAAACTTGAAACAATCCCTATACCAATTCATCTGGCTAGAGTAGTGTTGTAGGCCGAACCTAATTCCTAAGGAGAGGCCTATGTCCAGCAGTGGACTGCTAAGGGCTGTTGATGAAGACACTTTACATGACCCGTCTGCTTCCTATACCACTAATATATTGCTCTCAACTTTGGTCTCCACATTATGAATATCACAGAAATTGTCTTGAACGAGTACGCAAACGTCTAGATTTTAAAAAACAATCTGTTGTACAAACCGCTTCAAAAATTGTTTTTATTTGTTTTTCGCGTCAGTTTTGTTCCTGATTTGTCATCGTTGCAGCCACAATGTGCCACAGCGAAGTGTGGCAAAGTACAGCTAGTATGTTTTTTAAAAATGTTAAGTTGGTTTGTGTACAACTTAAAAACTCAAAAAGTTCTGCACCGATTGAGCTCAAATTTTGACACGGTACACAACATGCTTCAAGGATGGTTTTTATCTATTATTAGTATCAGTTTTGTTCCTTATTTCTTACCAATTTAACCACAATGTGCCACAACGTGCCAATTTAACCTAATACTCTAATGATTTGAAGAAATTTTATTAGTTTAAAGAACCCACAACACTCAGCGCAATAGGAAGTGGCGTAGCGACGTCTTTAACTACTACGCCATCTGGAAAAAAGTTTATGAAGAACTTACCTGAGCAGCGCCTTTGAGTCTAATTTCTGGTGTGAGTTGATGAATGAGGCTAAAGTTGACATTCCCGGCAGGGTCTACATCTCCCAGGATGACAGGGAAAGCTTCTGTGGGTGATATCTGCTTGGTTCCAATGTACGTTGCTCCCAGCTTGTAGCCATTTTGAGCTGAACTCATTGTCAAAGTGTGGGACATCTGTGAAAGTTGCAATTTATTTTTTTACCACAGATTTACTTTGGCATTATGATATTAACAATTAATTTTAAAAAACAAATATTAAATACAATAATTTTACTCTATGAGTTAAACCTCAAAATTCACTAAGGGTCACAGAGAGTCATGTGAGCTCAAATTAGGGAGAGCTTGTTCTGTGGTAACGTTTTTTTTTTAAAAAGACTACTCCCGCATTAGGAAAATATCCTGTGTCGTTTTCGGGAACTTTACAAACAAACATGAAACGGACACAAGGAACACCCAGACTCGAACAACAATTTGTGGACCACACAAAGTGTCATCCCATGTGGGGTTTGAAATTCCTGTGTCACGGGGACATTTACATTGGTTTAAGCTCAATAAGCTTTTCTTATTTTGTTAGGAACTTTCGACAAAACGTAAAATATATCAAATCCTATCAATATTATCTTACAAGTTTGGTCATGTTAAACATACCTGAAAATGATTGGAGAGACCCCTGTTGACCATAAGCTTTCCACCTTCAAAATTAACGGGCATGACATCTAAAAAACAAAATGTTCTATTTGATTAATATTGAAAATCTTAAACCTCTCTTAATTACAGTTAAGAGAGGCTTTAAAAAATTAAATTTAAAAGTAAAATTGTATGAAAAGCCTGCCAGTTTACATCACATCACATCAACAGACTTTAATAGTCCACTGCTGGACATAGGCCTCTCCTTAGAAAGGTAGTTACATGTTGCCAGTTTACATGGCTTTATTAAACTTGTAAATTCTTTGGTGCTATAAGAAGTATGAATTCTTCTTTGGTCAGTCTCAGTATACTCGGTTCAGACCTGATATTTTGATTCATTAGCAAGAGTGGTTACTCGTGATAATGACAGTGTTTTGGTGATTTTACCTAACACTAATTTCAAACAGAGACAGATTAAACTACTATCAAACTTTAACCAAAATGCACCTACTTCTTGTTCTCTCTGCATCGCCCAAAGGTTGACTGGTAGAGAATGCCTTGGGCCAATGCACCAAAGTGCATGATGTATAAATAAATAAATAATTTTGGTTTGAAATATTTTTCTATCTATTTATTGTTATATTACTATTCTACATTATGATTGTGAGATGACAGAATTTATATGCATAATAGAAAACCATAAATTATTATATGTTTATTTTTTTATAAAATGTTTATAAATTTTTAGTATATTTTTTTTGTGATGACTCAGGACCATGATTTTTATACACCCAATAGGGACCATAGACCTCAATATCTGGTATAAATTTCAACTTGCTAGGTCTACCCATAGGAGGTTGTAGGCCAAAACCTCTTTTCTAAGGAGAAGCCTATGTCCAGCAGTGGACTATTAAATGCTGTTGATGATGATGAGGTCTACCCGTTCCTGAGAAAATCGGTGGTGACACACGGACAGACGGACAAGAAAGTGATCTTATAAGGGTTCCTTTTTTACCTTTTGAGGTATGGAACCATAAACATTGCTAAATTTAAATGTTTTATATATAAATTTAACTATTTTGATGGTATATTCTAACAGTTATTGTAGAAATATTCTTAATAAATCTAGAAATTGTGACATTCTTTGTGAGAAGTCATACCGAAGTCAACTATATTTAACAATTAAAGCTATGCTTACAAGCTATTTATGTTTTGTGTAACAAGGTTCCATCAACCAATTTATTGTAACTACTACGATTACGTTTACAATCAAAAGAGGCACTTTCAATTTAAATCCTAGCGGTCGGATATGAAATGGGGGCGATAACACTCTTATCGCAATTTAAAAATCTACGCTTGGTTGAAAGGCGCTGCCAAGATGTTGCAACCCACACACCAATATGTATGGATGCTTAAGAATAATTGTCATTATAGCATGTGACACACACATACTGAAGGTTTTTAAACGAGGGCATGTTTATTATTCCAGTTAATTGTCTCTTATTACATCACAAGATAACCCAACTTTTAAGTTAGCTTTAAATTATATTTGGCGCGGTTTTCTGAATGAATACGAGATTCCGATAAGTTTTCACTGTTCTAATTGGAATGTTAATCAGTTCAAATTATCGTAAAAACAGTTAAAACGTGTGTAATAAATACCTTTAGACTTTTTATGTATCTCATCTAACGTTCCGGGATTTTCACGTTTTTCCTCACTCTCTATGTTCTTTATATCGGTGCTTATGAGTCCTGAGTTGTGTACACGGTATCGGCTCGCTATAGCACCCATTTTATAGTTCTATTTGTAATACTTTCTCTAAATTCGACAGAAATCGATGAACATGTGCAATGAAACACAATTCTGTGGAATAAAAGACAATCGCAGCAGTGTGAAGTTGACAGCAATTGCGCCAACATAACGAGAAGTTCAGAATATACCGCGTTCAATTAAAATACTGTAATAAACTAAAATTTTGACAAGAAAAACTTGTTCTAGTAAAAGTTTAAATATGGCCCATGATCATAGTATGGAAATATTTAGATTTCCTGCATTTTCTAAAATTTTACTTTGATCATCGAGAGTATCTTCTTAATTAGTCTATGGTTAAAAAGAGTACAGCAATAAGATTTTCATTTATATTTAACACATTCTATAAAGCCACTTACTTTTAGAGGCTCTAAATTTAGATTACATTTTACAAAGAAAAGTAGAGAAAATCCCAAAAATGTATTACTTGTACCCATTATGGTTTTTTAAATTATACGCTACAAGTATTTAAGCATTTTAGCATACCATTTAATTACCTTGCGGAATATAAGCAACCTTTTATGGGGTTGTTTGGAATAAAAGCTAATTTTTATGTCGGGCCTTGAATTAGTTACCGTATACGGTATCTGCAGCACTAAACAAATATCCTAAAGAACACGTAGGTAATCGAAATTACACTTTTACACCCTTCTCCACTCTCGAACGGCGCGCCTCACCTCACCAACAAAGCTGTCTCTTTTTTTTTTGAGAAACCACTGTTCCAGACATCAAATATGAGAATACGTTATATACCATTTCATATTATAAATAATATAAAATTTTGTGTGTAAAACCTTTGTACTACAAAATATCCCCTACATCACGTAGGGGATGTTTTGTAGTACAAAGTTTTTTGCTTTTTGCTTACAAAGAAGGCTCAGAATAGTAGATTTGTTTAGTACAGAGCCCAATTATTGATATCCAAATAACAGAGAAGAAAACAAAAAAAAAAAAGACATTTGACACACTTTTTTTAAGGACCATTCCTTAAAAAAAGTAAGTGTCAAATGTCTTTTTTTTCACACAAACAATCGTCCAGGGTCCCCATCTTAGGGATGCCCCCAAATTTAGGGGGTTTCAACCTAGGATGGGGTTCTTTTTTAAGGGCTTTGAATTTTTAGGAGTATTTTTAGGTTTTTTTTTTTTACTTACAAGTATAAACCTCAATATAACCCACTCTAGCCAAGCATATTTGTTTGCTGACCTTGCAGAGAAGTAGCCTCCGCCATAGAAACATGGAAACAGGAAACTGATTCTAGACACCCTTTGTATGGCCAAAACCAAACCACGAAAAAGCTGAAAAGTCGAAACAGTTTCCTTAATTATTCTTTAATTTCAACTCCCAAGACCAGAGAATGTTAAGAAGGTTATATACATCAGTTACAAATTGTCTATCTTTAATATGATGATGTTACCTAGCAACTGTTGTTATTTTGTAGTCAAGAAAAAATTTGTCAATAACAGAAACTTGCTTTCCATATTATATTTTATTTTATTATATTAAAGTGGTAGCAGAGCGTAAACAATGGAGCAAGCATTAAATGCGAGTAAGATTCAAATTGGGAAACTAGATTCCAATAATTATAAAACATGGAGATTCAAAATTCTAATCGTGCTAAAGGCAATACCAGGAGGCATGTTCATCCTCGAAGGGAAGAAGGTAAGACCATCCTTGGCGCTTTCGGCTACTGGCGATGCAAAGGCTAGTTATGAAAAAGATCTCCAAAGTTTTGAAAATTTGAATAGCGCAATTTTAATTCTGTTGACAACAAACATGTCAGATGATATTTTACAAAAGTTTTTGCGATTTGATTCTGCTAAAGATATGTGGGATGAGCTAGAGCGCACCTATGGAGGTACGTGTGTAGACAACACATACAACTTATGCCTGAAATTCTTCAGTTACAAAAAGGACCCAGAACATGACATAATTACACATGTGTCAATTTTAAAGAATATTTGGAGCGAGCTATGTACGGAATTGCAGAGTGAAACAAAATTACCTGAAATTCTTTTAATATGCAAGATACTAGATACATTACCTCCAGAATATCTTGGTTTTAAGTCCAGTTGGCTGTTGATTTCAAAAATGGAAAGATCAGTTGAAAATCTGACAAGTCAATTGTGTGCACAAGAGAGAGTCCTGCGTCAAGACACAAATGTCACAGAGGAGACTAGTGCAGAAGCTTTGTATACAAAAACAAATAAGGGTAAGAAAAAGAGGAATTTTAACGAGCCTAAATGCAATTATTGCAAGGAAAAGGGACATAGAGTTAGAAATTGTAAGCGGTGGATCCAAGATGGAAGGCCGCCCAAGGAAACCAAGACCGCAAACACGAACCTGACTGTTATGACAATAGATTCGGCTGATTTTGGAGAAAGGAAAGATTTAGAGAATTGGTTCATTGATAATGGGGCTACCAATCATGTTACCAATCGAAATGATCTCTTTCAGACCTTCAAATATTTCAAGAGCCGTCATACAGTGACTGGCGCGAATGGCCAATATATTGAAGCCCTAGGCATCGGAAATATTCTTGCAGAGGCTGATGTAAACGGAAATGCAATACCGATACTACTGAAGAATGTCTGGTACGTACCCAGCATTAGCAGGAATTTATTTTCAGTACTTGCAACCCACGACATATCTGACAACAGTGTTTTTGAATCTACCACACTAAAATGTACACTAAAGATTGATGGACAGGTAAAGCTGATTGGCACACGCAGCAAGTTTGGAGGACTCTTTAAAATTAATATAAGATGTCTGGAACCAACTGTACGAGTCAATCAGGTGTCCACAAACACAAATTTGTTACAGCTATATCATGAAAGATTTGGACATCAAAATAAAAGCCATGTGATGAAGGTGATTGAAAATGAGTTTCATATAAAAGTACCAGTAACCAAGGAACTCTGTGAAGGTTGCATCTATGGCAAATCCCATAGACTTAAGTTTGGGACCCGAGAGAAAGCAACGAGACCTGGAGAACTTGTATATGCTGATGTTTGTGGACCCTTCCCATATTCTATCACAAAGTTGCGATATTTTGTTCTCTTCAAAGATGATTATACAAGGTACAGATTTGTGTATTTTATGAGGGAAAAAGCTGAAGTACACGCGAAATTGCTACTTATGCTTACTGAAGTAAAAGCATCAGGAGTTGTCATAAAAGAACTTCTTAGCGACAACGGTGGTGAGTTTGTCAACGCGAAGGTACAAGCTACTCTCAAGAAGGAAGGTATTGTGCAAAGATTGACAATGCCCTATACGCCACAACAAAATCCAACAGAGCGAGACAACAGGACCGTTGTGGAAATGGCGCGGAGTCTAATGTACGCACATGCAAAAATTCCTCCTGCACTTTGGGCTGAAATGATATCTGCTGCGGTGTACATCTTAAACAGAACAGGCCCAACCGTATCACCGATAACCGATCACCGAAAATCACCGTATGAGTTATGGCACCAGAAGAAACCCAGACTGAGTCATTTAAGAATAATAGGATCCATTTGTTATCCACATGTTCCCAAGCAAAGACGAAAGAAGTTAGACAAGAAGGCACAAAAAGGAATATTAATTGGATATGACTCTGACAATGGCTACCGTATTTGGGACAGCAACTCTTTCAAACTGATTCGTTCCAGAGATGTCACTTTTAATGAGAATCCTTTATTGGGTCACTTTGAAGAGATTGACGAGCCTGTTGCCAATCAGAACAAAAATGCTGATAAAAATTCCAACACCCTGTTTGACTTCGTCATTCCTCGTCAGCATGAATGTTACACGCCGGCCGACACGAGCAACATCCAGCAGACATTGACAAGTCATGATGAAAGTATCGCATCGTCTTCTCAGCAAGATGAACATGCTGCTGAATCATCATGTGCAGAGATTGAAACTGCGAGTGAAGATGACGTGCCAGAGGCTGAAACATTTTTAGAGGCGGAGGAATCCTTTTACGAGCCTATACCCGAAGAAGAGGTTAGCGATGTAATCGAGACAGATCGTCAAGTCAACGATATAAATGAATCGAGGCCAGACCGTAGAGACGATTCGTCTTTATCTGCATCTGAGATTGAGGCTGAAGGCAGGATGACGCTACGAGACCGATCAAATCTCAGGCCACCGGCTAGATACAAAGACTTCATTTGCAACATTTGTATGAATGGCAATTCGATAAGCGATGAAAATCGAAAAGAGCCAAGTACATTTCAAGAAGTGATGGCATCTAAAGATTTTGATGAATGGAAAAAGGCAATGGATAATGAAATTAATTCTCTAAAAGAAAATGAAACATTTGAAATGGTAGATTTACCCAAGGGCAGAAAAGCGATCTCAAGCAAGTGGATTTTTAAGATCAAGACGAATCCTGACGGATCGATTGATAAATACAAAGCCAGACTTGTAATAAGAGGTTTTTCACAGAAGAAGGGTTTAGATTATTATGAAACCTTTAGTCCTGTTGCAAAGACAAGTACCATAAGAGCATTACTCAGTATAGCTGCTCAAGAAAATCTCTCTCTATGTCAGTTCGACGTTTCAACTGCCTTTCTATATGGCAAATTGAAAGAGGATATTTATATGAAGCCTCCAGAAGGATATTCAAACAATGATGGTAAAGTTTGCAAACTTAAACGAAGTCTCTATGGACTTAAACAAGCACCGAGGTGCTGGAACTCTACTATTACTGAGCACATCCTCAAAGTTGGCTTCATACAGAGTGAGGGTGACCCCTGCTTGTTTAAAAGAGATCGAAAGAACAAGTTATTAATAGCTTTATATGTTGATGACGGATTGATAGCGTCAGCAAGTTCAAAAGAAACTGAAAAGTTTTTGGACGAAATGCGTCAACGCTTCAAAATCACAACGAAATGCGGTTCCTATTTTCTTGGAATTGAAATAGAACGTAAAGTTGATGGGTCAATCAAAATTGATCAAAAGAGCTATGCAAAGAAGCTACTGCAAAGATTTGGCATGCAGAATTGCAAAGCTGCAGTAACCCCAATTGTTAAAGATAACGTGCTAGCTTCGAAAGACAATACGGATATCCATGACTTTCCATATCGACAGGTTGTTGGAGCATTATCCTATTTGATGGTTGGCACTAGACCTGACATTGCTTTTGCAGTTGGAATAGTGTCACGGAAGCTAGATAATCCAACATCAGAAGATGTAGCGAGAGTTAAGCGAATTCTACGCTATGTTAAAGGCACCCTAGAGTATGGTATAACATACAAATCTTCCACTGTAGAACGAGGCTTAAGATGCTACAGTGATGCTGATCATGGTGGTGATGAGACGACTGGACGCTCCACCAGCGGCATGATTTGCCTCAACGCCAATGGTGCAATAGCATGGCAGAGTAAACGTCAGACTACTGTCGCAATATCTTCTACAGAAGCTGAAATAATTGCAGCAAGTGAGGCCGCCAGAGAAGTTATATGGCTTAAACGGATCATGAACTTCATGCAGAGTAATACTCAGAAGGAGATTACACCACTCTTTATAGATAATGAATCCGCTATAAGATTAGCTTATGATCCACCTTACGAAGCACACCAGCGAACAAAGCATATAAGGCTTAAACATTTTTTCGTAAGGCAGTGTGTCCTAGAAAAGGATATAAAAGTTGAGAAGGTTGATACCAAGAATCAACTGGCAGACTTCTTGACAAAGCCATTATTTAAGCCTAGGCTTCTAGAACTATGTAAGCTAGCTGGAGCCTCAACTTAACCAACAGTTGCTTGAAGAGGAGACGGAATGTTAAGAAGGTTATATACATCAGTTACAAATTGTCTATCTTTAATATGATGATGTTACCTAGCAACTGTTGTTAATTTGTAGTCAAGAATAAATTTGTCAATAACAGAAACTTGCTTTCCATATTATATTTTATTTTATTATATTAAAGGAGAAAACATATGGCGTAACGTCCGTCCGTCCACCTGGCAGATAAACTATCCCCAGGAGATAAACTCCCCTTTTTTTTTCTTTTTTTTCCTTGGGGAAATCCCCTCGGATACCACCTATCGGTGGCATGTCGGACTCGAACCGACTAAAACCGCACGCCGTCTCGGGTACTAATAGCCGGGGAACCAGGTATACCCTAGAAAGGAAGTCCCTGGTGCCCCGACATACCTCGGGCCATCTACAGACGAGTAGACGACATCCCCCGTGTGGGAACCCCATGTTCCCTCTGCTCTCTGAAAGCGAGCGCGCTTCGCAACGCGTTCGCCGTCACCCCGGCCTGCTTCTGCTAGGGTGACAGATGGTCTCACCTGTCACCCCCAGGCCTGCGCGCTTATGGAGGACGGAGGTCGTTCTGCGACCTCCGACGCCTGAGTCGCCTGCGGTACCAGGCCCGGGAACGGGCCAGGTACCGCAGGCGACTCAGGCGTCGATTGATTTTTTGTTTTGATTGTTATTAGTTTACTATTTTTAGACCACTAGGTACATGCATGGATTAAGATGACCGTGTGGTGACGGATTAAGAATACGAAGTGTCACCACCCCTATTCATCCCGTGGGTGTCGTAAGAGCCGACTAAGGGAGCAAACTACGCAGGAGAACAGCACTGCAAAGAGAAGGAAAACTTGACACAAACCCTATACCAACCCGTCTGGCCAGCGTGGTATAGTAGGCCAAAACCTCCTTTTTAAGGAGAGGCCTGTGTCCAACAGTGGACTGTTAAAGGCTGTTGATGATGATGTGACATCATAATTGCCATACATATCAGGTAAAATGCTACATATTGTCAAAATTAGTTATAAGTATAATATGTATGATGTGGTAGTATTTAGGTATTAATAAATAAATAAAATTAATTGTGGCAATCTTGCCTGTATTTTTAGGGTTAAATATTTTTGAGAGTTGGTAACACTGTTTCACTCAAACAAACGTCACTCGTCAGTCTAGTCATTGTTTTACTCCTGTAAAGTGTAAACTGTGTTATAATAAACACATGCTTTAGAAAGTATTTCACAAGTCTTAGAACATCGATTTAGCAACATAGTCAAAGCATTCATACGTGAGCTTACGTACAATTATCGTTGCTGTTGTGTTTTAACTACCAGTGCGAATCACACAATGCCAAAAGTTGTATCGCGAAGTATAGTCTGTTCAGACACAAAAGACCAAGAAGAATATAATGAGACGAAACCTCTTCACATCTACTACTGCATATGTGGACAAATGTCGCTTATTTTGGATTGTACCATTGATAAATTACCATTACGACCTACCGATGGTGCACGAGTCATTGATGGTTCAAAACACGCTCACAAAATTACATCAGATCCCGACGAAACTGTATACTTAAAAAGAGAAAAGGGCATTGAAAGGCAGTACAGGCTAAAGTGTAAGAAATGCGCCATTCCTATTTATTATAAGCATGAACAAGACAATAATATAGTGTTCATTCTGAGAGGTGCATTAGTACAGACTGCGGGAGAGGCTGGTGTAACAGATATCTACAAACAAGTTGCTTTAACACAACCAAAGAAGATTATGGTGACAAAACATACTAAAAATATGGGAAAATTCAGTTCTGTTACTGTGTCTACAATTGATGAAGAGGAGGATGAAATCGAGGCCCGAGAAGTAGCAGACAGCTACGCTAATAATGCTAGAATTATTGAGAAACAATTGGAGAGAAAGGGAATGAATAAGAGGCAAGCAGAGACCCCTGCACAAACTACGGAGAAAAGAGTTAGAGGGACTTTGATAGATAAATAAATGTTTTATTTTAATTTTGATTTTTTATTATAAAGTAACTGCTTTGCATCAACTTGTGTCTAGCAACCACTATTTGCCCAATGTTTTGTATAATTTTTTTTTACGCACGGTTACATATTGGTTTAAGCGGTCACCATGCCGTTGGTTAGGTTGTGGGTCTGATCCCCATATGGGACGACAATTTGTGTGATCCACAAATTGTTGTTCTGAGTCAGTGTTCTTTGTGTTAGTTTCATCTATGTTTGTAAAGTCCCCTGCAACACAGGATTTATTCCGAATGTGGGAGTTGTCTTTAAAAAAAAAAACTTTTGTATCTGAAGGATAAGCTGTAATAGGATATTATGTAGAGCTGTAAATAATTATTTTTAAATAGAAAAACTCAATTAGAAAGCTATTAATGAATTATTAATTGAATGTAAATTTATTTTTTATGATTTATGTTCTTGATAACTTTGTTAATGATAACTCAGCAAAGAATTAAACACACATATCATGTTGAACTGTCCTAATAACAATAAAAAGTCAGACAAGGCTTTATCCTCAACTAGTACTTATCCGTGTGGTGACAGATAAACAATAATACCGAGTGTCACTACTAGGGTAGGTAATCTCATGGGTGTCGCAAGATCCGACTAAGGGAACTAATGCAGGACAACAGCACTGCAAGGAGAAGGAACACTTGACACAAACCCTATATCAATCCGTCTGGCTAGCGTGGTATAGTAGGCCAAAACCTCCTTTCTAAGGTGTGGACTATGCCTAATAGTGGACTTTTAAAGAGTGTTGATGCTGATGAGTACTCCTTGTTTCACCTGTGCTTTAATTCACAGTTCTGTGTTGTTTCATATCAGAAAATGTTTTTTTTTCAAATTCAATTAAATCAACAATATACAAAAAGTGGTAAATAAACTGACTTTCATCTTGCGTTTTTGAACACGCGCGTGTACATCGTCGTTCAGGTTATCTTCCCTAGATGGCACTGACGTAAATTTTCTACATAGATGTCGCCACAACTACAACAACAAATACGAAACAATAGTATTAATTTAATAATAAATGAAAAGAAAAGATATTAATACTCTGTGGTACAATTCATCAAACTATCACGAAATTTAGCATATATGCTGCCAGATATACCTAGGAAATAGGCCCTTTTATCGAGAAAAATATATCGAAAGTAAGGATGCATATTACATTTTTACGTAAGAGAAGTCACGGGCATAAGCAAGACCAAATTAAAATATTTTAAGCTATGGTATTATGTAACCAAACCTCCTTTCTAAGGAGAGGCCTATGTCCAGCAGTGGACTATTAAAGGCTGTTGATGTGATGATTATGTAACATTATTAGGTAGGTATCTAATGTAAGATTTTGTTTTGAAGCTTTAATCTCTTTCGTGTAAGATATTTACCTATACTCGGAGTTACGATAGATTATTTCGTTATTAGTTCTTTTATTTTCGTAATCTGCTTACACATAATTATGACGACACATTAATACGTCATATTTTGGAGGGAAAAAAGATTTGTCAATATATTAAAAAGTTGCCTACAGAGTTAGCTCGAAGCGTTTTTATACTAGGTAGGTGTACGTACTGAGTTTTTTAGAGATACATAGGCACGCAGCGCGAATGTAACTTCTGTGTACCATAGTAAAATGTAATGTATTTATACCTGCGTTTCTTCAGTCAGTACGTTCTCTCTTAATGAAATTTATATAAAGATATCTGAGACTTTCATATTTAAATTTCTATTTATTCCAGAGTCTATGAAGACTGAGGTGTGATTAATAATATTTCCTGATGGAAGAACACGCCTTGACATACCTACTCTCTACCGAGAAACGGTGTACCTTCCTCCATAATTGTTCTTATGTTTAGTTTTGGAACAAGTTATTGACACGGTACAATTATAATACAGTACTGTAACTCGGCCGCATGATAGAAATAAATGCCTACAGCCGCGCGGTACGTAAACATGCGTTAGGGCTGCCCGTCTCCAGCATTTTAATTATATTTGCCTACTTTCTGTTTCTATTTAGATTTGTGATTGTAAATATCCTTTTTATATAAATAAATGAAATACTTTGTATATTGAATAGGAAGTGTTCAATAAAAATGCGTGTTGTTTTTTGATTCACTCCCTATACATTTTGATACACTACCTATATCACTCGTCTCAATAATTTTCCGTTACTCTATTCGCTTTATTTATTAATCCAAACACCTTTTTTTTCGTGAGATAAAAGGAAATACTTATCCATTAAAAAGACACACATTATGTACCTACCTACTAGTAAGTAAAATTATTTTATAGTCTTACCTTTCAGAGTTTCCAGGTAATTTAAAAAAACTTATGTCTGGATGCGTTATTGACGAATTCATACAACCAAAAACAGCACAATATTTCCTACTCGTCATATTAACTGATTTTTTAGAGAAAAAATCGCGCGGTTATTGTTAAAAAAACAACACACCGTCCATTCGACACTGCGGCACAGCCGTGACTGTCTGCGCCCCGAGCGCACCCCGAGATCGAGGCGCGTAGGTATAGCTCGCGTTTCGTCCGTTTGTATGAAGTTGGAGTACTGTATTATAATAGTACCGTGTTATTGATTTCCTAAAAGCACAGATATGCTGTTCTAATAGTTTGTTTGTAAGTACCTAATATATGTGTACTTAGTGGGCTTGTAGGCTAAGATGTAATTTCATCACACGATTTGACGGCTTAACACCGGTTTTCTGTGAGACTATGGTATCACTCCAGACTCTGGTGTAAGCATAGATGGCTGGGATGGATGGGATTCCACAGTTTTTAACACTTATTCTAACACTACACCTTCGCTAAAGAACAATAATAATCGTGCTCATTATGCGATATTTGTCCTGGATGGGAATGGAACCCACGACCTCTCACTTAGCACTTAGGATCACTAACAATTCAACCAACAGCCCCGTCAATAGGGAATATGCATGTATTTTTTTTATTTTTTTAACGATTCTACTAGTTATTACATTACCAAAAATAAATATAACACATCCGAAATATAAACCGTTAAGCAAAATTTTTTTTATTAAAATCGCTATCGTTTTGGGGCAATTTGAACACGTCCATTTTGGCGCGCTTTTTTTGTGACGTCAGATTACACTTTCAGACGAATTCGATGTCAACAACGGAGTGAAGTTCACAAAGTTTAAAGTTCACTAAGTTAAAAAAGTGAGTAATAAAAATTAACTTAGTACCATGGAAAGCCAATAAAAGCATTTTATAAATATTGTGCCGTTCCTTTGTGCCCAAATAATATCAAAACTGCACCTGACAAAGTATATTCAGTCATTGTGTTGAGTCTTTCTACACGGGAATTTAATAATTTAACACTGAAAACGTATTAGTTATTAACTTAAAATGAAACAAATAATCACCAGAAACCAAATATTACAAATACACACAACTTGTTGAGACTCTTGACAGTGTAGGTTGACGTCACGTTTTATTCAACCAATAGCGTTGCGTTTTAGAAATTAGCAAGGGAATCTTAAAAAAGCCAATTTTTGATGATTAAATTACACTATTAAATTATAATAAATTTCAAAAATAATTGTATGGGTATCTTTTCTTAGCAATAAAAATTACAAATAAAAATATTTTGTCCATTTATGTGTCACGTGCATATTCCCTATTATCATATTTTTATGGAAGGTGAAAGTTTAAAACTTAGTACAACAAGAGTATTAATAATATTTAACTAATATTGTTAAGACATTCAGAAGTGTGTAAAAAATACTTGAGATACATTTTTTCTTAGGATGTTGTACTTAGGATGTTGTACAATTTTCGTCTCCGAAAATTTAAGTTCGACCGTAATTCATTTAAGCTTAGGCGAAGGTGGGAAAGGCTCCTAACAATTATTTTTTATTTTTAATAAAAACACTGAAGCGCGCCAAACGCCAAATAGATAGGAAAAAAAGTAGAAAATCTATAGACAAAAGCGTATAGTTATTTTTTAATACGATCAAAGATAAGACTATGCTTTTTATACATAGATACTTTAAAAATTACACAGAAATGAAACTTTTATATCATTAAACAAGATTTACAACTGCAGTAGTTGTAGCTAAACTAGTTATTTACGTGTACATACATAAATCTCGTTGTTCTACGAATTCTCATTATACACGTTAATGATATGTACAATGAAAAGGTACGTAAATTTGTGTAAAATAAATGCCCGGGTTGTTCGCCCGTAGAAATGCTAATACCTATTTGCTATTTCTGGTTTACAGCGCAAGAAATAGTGAGAGGATTTTGTAAAACGATTTTCTCGGAGCAACTTGTGTTAGAGTTTTGCTTCTTTCGGTTTTATGTAATTTTTATACAGAATGCAGTTTAAAATTTTTATTATTATTTTTCAACTTAGGATTTGCATTGAAATGTAACGTTCATTTCAATATTGACTAAAAGTTTTAGTAGATTAATTTAAATTATTTACTAAAATTAAGAGAGAAAAATGAATGTGTACTTCATTGGCTAATTAGATTAATATTATACTAAGAAAAATTGTAAAATCTTAAAATCTAGCTAAGCTACTTTTTACCCACTTTCAAAAAGGACGAGTAATTTTTTGATTGAATTGCCAGTAATCAAGGTTCGTCTCGTTAGTGTACATTTAAATAATACGTTCATTAACTAATAGTGGAAATTATTTTTGTGTATAATAAATATAAGTATATGTGTAAGGATAAGAAAATAAGTAAGCTTGTGTTTTACGCCATCATGCCTTAATAATGGAACCGATTATCGTAAAATTATCTAAAAATGATTTGTTTAGGAAATGTAATAGGATAACTTTGACCAAGAAGAAAAGTTCGCTATGGTATTCTTACATTTAAGCGAATGTAGCCGTAGGTAAGAGCTCGTTATGGTATATTATGTATTGACAAAATTGTTATATCAAAGTAATATTTTCAATTACATATAACTCACTTTAAAAAAATGTGTTTT